TTGCACTCTGTTACGGAGGGATTCCACTGTGTCTTTCAGATCCTTGAGGGCTGCAACCTCTTGTCTCTGTATTTCAAAATCTTTGATCATTTTATCTTTGAAATCATTGAGTCCTTGAGATATCTTTTGAATAATTTCTTGAGAAATCTTTTGAATAGTTTCTTGAGCTCCTAATTTCTTCGTTTCTTCCAGTCTGTTAATCTTATTTGCTATCCACATTCTGAACTCAATTTCTGACATCCCAGCCATTTGCTGTGGATGGGGTCTTCAATTGTGTCTTCCCCATTTTCCCTTGGAATAGTTGATCTACTCTGGTTACTTGAGTTGCCAGAGTTTTTTCTGCTGGTTCTGCCCCATGCTGAGTTTACCTTGTTCGGAGGCCTTATCAGAACCGTTCAGTTGATGGCTTCTTCTGATTGCCCAGAGAGACAGGCAGAGCGTGTCTGTTGTCTTCTCCCAGTTCTCGGGTGCTGGGGCAGCCAGGGTGCAGTGGAACAGCAGCAGCTTCACAGGAGTGTGCGTGGGCAGATTAGACCTCGTTCAGCCTGCTGGGCAACTGGGGGGCAGGAAACTGGCAGCAGCCAGATCTTTCCTAGTTCGGCCCCTCTGTGGCAACCGGTGGAACAGGGGAACTGTAGTGGCTAGATCAGTCCTAGTTCAGCACCCTGGAACAGCCAGAGGGTAGGGGAATCGCAGCGGTAGTGCAGGGTATGCGAGCGACCAGATCAGTCCTAGTTCAGCCCCACCAGAGTAGCTGGGGGGAAGCGGGGGACTACTTCACCGTCACCCATTGGACGCGTGCAGCGCTAGCAAGCCAGTCTGTGCCCTCCCAATGCGGGAGCCCTGAGCGGGGGACTCCTCCACCTCTGTCCAAGGGATGTATGTGGCTCTAGAAAATAGTTCTGGGCCCTCCAAGAGTGGTAGACCCCTCCACCACCACCTGCATGGCGAGTGTGGCTCTAGCAAGCAGTTCTAGGCCCGCCCAGCTTGGGAGCCTGGAGTGGGGAACACCTCCCCTGGCCCCCGTGGGGTGTGTGTGTCTCTTGCAATCTGTTTTGGGTCTACCTGGAATGGAGGATTTCTCTGCCTCTGTCTGCGGGACTCCTGCAGCACTAGCGAGTGGTACTGGGCCTGCCCAGAGCAGGAGCCTGCTGCCCGTGAGGCATGCAACTCTAGCAAGCAGTTTTGTGGCCCGCCCTGCTCCGTGAGGGCAAAGGGACCCACTCGGCAACTGGGTTTGTCTGGGAAGGTTAATGCCTCCTTCCCCACCTTACACCAAGTCACTCGTTGTCCCCCAGGTCCGTGACCCTATTCACTCCAGTAGGCCACTGCTCCTGGGGTTTACCTGGCAAAATCAGCCAGAAATCTGAGTTCTGCAGGGGGGCCTTGCGTGTTTAAATTAGGCTCCTGTCTGGCTAGATTTCTCTCCAAACCTCGGAGTGAGTGGGTGGGGATTCCTCAGAGTTAAATGTTGCAGGTGGGGAATATATACAGTTTTATATAGTTCAAACCTTCCCTCAACCATACACCCGGGGTGCCCCCTTTGAATAGTCCTTGGGTGGTCTACCAGGTTTGAGGGGTCCAAATCAATTGTCCCAGTCAGCACCCATTTCAGGTGGAAGAGTTCAAATGTCTCTGGGAGCTAGATAAGAGGGATCTGCTTGCAGTTCAGATATAACTTGCTCTAGTGCTCCGCGAGGGCAAAGGGACCCACCTGGCAAATGGGTTAGTCTGGGAAGGTTAATACCTCCTTCCCCACCTTGCACCCAGTCACTTGTAATCCCCCAGGTCTGTGGCCCTATTCACTCCCGTAGGCCACTGCTCTCGGGGTTTACCTGGCATAATCAGCCAGAAATCTGAGTTCAGCAGGGGGGCCTTGCATGTTTAAATTAGGCTTCTGTCCGGCCATATTTCTTTATAAATCAGAGGCTGCATTCAACTTTACACTCAGTTGTCAATTCTAGCCTCTGCCCACCCACGGCCTTTGTCTCAGCCGCATTAACCCCCTGAGGGCTGGCGCTCCACCCAAGAAAGTTAAGTGCGCCCTGCCTGTGGCTGCTGTCCGGAACCTCTGCTTGCCCAAAGGATTGGGGCTGGAATGGCGTGCTGCTCGGCATGCCACCGTTTCTGTACTGGCGTCCCCTGAGCTGACTCTCCTTTCCTCACGCCCGCACCACAGTCAGCACAGAACAGCACCAGCCCTTTCCCCCTCCACTTCTCTCAAGGAGATGCCCAAGAATCAGGACTCCATAGGTAATAAACCTCCAGATCTCGGAGTGGGTGGGTGGGGACTCCTCAGAGTTCAGTGTTGCAGGTGGGGAATATATACAGATTTATACAATTTTACAGTTTTATGCCTGGCCGGAGGGTGCCGTGGCACGCCAGCAGGGGTAGGAGGTCCAGCTTTTAGGGGGTCTCTCCCATGGAATAGAGTGGGAGGAAGTTTGAACTCTGCTTGCTTGTTTGCATGGAGTAAACTATGAGCCCTTGTTGTGGGGGAGGGGACTCCCGTCCACTTGCTGGTGGATTTTGTACCTTTTGGTTGTATTTTTGGGGTCGCAGCTTGCCTCAGGAAGGTTGAAGTGCGCTCTTCAATCTTCTCTTTTGTCTCTGCTCCAAACCATCAGCTAATTTGCTAAGCTTCTGTCCTTTTAGCCTCCTTCTGGACGGGAGCTTCTGTAAAAAGCTGGCTGCTGTCCGCCATCTTGGCTTTGCCCCTGGAGTGATTAATCTTGATGAAGAGTATCATAATCTTTATTGGACCAATTAGAACACTTGCTTACAGCTAGAAACACAGCACACTTTGTGGATAAGGCACACTTTATGGTTTACATAAGCATAAATATCCTATTTTGAAAAGAATGATAGTCTCATACTTGGTTTTGCAAACATGTAAGTGTTCATGACAGTAGGTTTTGCAAGTCCTAAGTACAACCTTTTCCCCTCTTTGAGGACATTTCAGGCTCATGTTTTCAGTACATGTAGCATCTGCTGAGGACTTTCTTAACAGCTGCTTTTACCTCCTTATTCCTCAGGCTGTAGATGATAGGGTTCAACATTGGGGTTACAACTCCATAAGACAGTGCAATGATCTCATCAGATGTCTTTGTGTCCTTTGACTTGGGCTTCATGTACATAAAAAGAGCTGAACCATAGAATAAGATGACCACAGTCAGGTGGGCTGAACAGGTAGAAAAGGCCTTCTTTCTCCCCTCAACAGAACTAATTCTCAGGATAGAAGAGAGAATGAACACATAGGAGACAAAAATTAACAGTAGTGGAATAACCAATAAAACAATACTTGCCACTGTCATGATAAGCACATTCATGGAGATATCTGAACATATGAGTTTAAGAAGAGCCAGAATTTCACAGGTTATATGATCAATGACATTATTTCCACAGAAAGGCAACACCATTGTCAGGACTGTTTGCACTAGAGAGTTCAGACAGCCTATGACCCAAGACCACGCAGCCATTTGCACATATAACACCTTGTTCATGATGATGGGGTACCTCAGTGGGTTGCAGATGGCCACGTACCGGTCATAGGCCATCACAGCCAGGAGGACACACTCAGTAGAGCCCAAGCCAAGGGAAGCGACCATTTGTAGAACACAGCTAATGAAGGAGATGGATTTTCTCTCAGACATAAATATAAAAAGCATTGGCGGAACTGATGATGATGTGTAGCAGATATCTAAGAATGAAAGGTTTCCAAGGAAGAAGTACATGGGGGTATGGAGGCGAGAATCCAGGATGGTGATGATAATGAGTAGACTATTTCCTAGTAGGATTATCAGATACATGATGAGACAGAGCACAAACAGACAAAGCTGGAGTTCTGGGTACTGGGAAAGGCCCATGAGAAAGAATTCATTTGTGGCAGAGTAATTTCCTATCTCCATGTGTTCATGTCACCTGCAGAATCTAGAAAAGGACATGATTCAGGTGAATTAAAATTTTAGATATAGATTTCCATCAGCAATTTACAATATTGTGTTTCATTCCTACCTATACTCCTTGTTTCCAAAGAGAAAGGGAGGGTATACTAATTTTAGTGATGGTAAATTGTGAGGCAATGAGAAATTCTCTGTGTTTTAAGACTACACAGCAATACAGTCAAAGGTACCAATACAACAATTATTACACCAATAAGGTACCAATAACAACCAATTATTCTGGTAGTGTTAAATAATGTTTAGGAACAGATAACTTTCAAATGTAGATAAATATTTTAAAATTGAAGTTATTTTTTAATGAAGCTGTTCTCTATTTAAGAGATTAAATAGACCAAGCATTATTATCGCTTCAGCTGGGTATAATTTTGGTGAGTTGCTTAATGTTTCTGAGTCTCACATATTTCATAGTAAACTTGGAAGTAGCTATATCTATCTGCTATGGTATAATTAGAGTTAAATTAGATTAAATGTTAGATGCCTAGAACAGTAAATGTTCCAATGTGACACACACACACACACACACACACACATATATAATTTTATTTAATTAATTTATTTTTTTTTGGTATGTAAAATCTATTTTAATGAAAACATTCTCATCATTTTGAACAATTTGCATTGTTTAATCTGAAGCTGTTCTGGCATCAAGACTTAACTTTTGTGCTCCACAGTTTTCAGGTTCCACTGTATTACTAATTTTCCAGTGCTCTTGAGACATGTGTTAGACATATCTGCCTCCATGGGAAGTCCTTGTGGCAGCTTCAGGGGCTTGATTCTTATCAAATGTTTGACCACTTTCAGTTTTGAATTCACTGAAGGTATATTCTTGTGAACTTGAGGGGTATGTGCTTTTTCTAATCCAGCATCTTTATTGTATCTTTTTCCCAGTATGGACATCTTTTTATACTTTTTATTCTAGTAACAATATGTAGTTTATGGGGATTCTGTGGATCCCTACCATACTTTTCACGATCTTCAGGTGAAGGCTGAGACACTTTATCTGGAATTCTTGGTAAATTTGTGATGAATCCTATCTGTACAAAAAAGAGACCCCATGCCTTTTGTTACGGTCTGTAGTCTGCCTCATGGCCTCTGAACTACTGTACACAAAATCCCTGCCATACATGTGGTGATTATTCTCTTTAGAGTCCCTGGCTTAAAGTCCAATACTTTTGGCCAGTCTCCACTCACCAGCACCCACTAAACACTCAACCTGAATCTTGCCACCAAGGAACTATATAAAAATTTATTTACTTTATGTAGTATAGTAATGCTAAATTATAAATGTTACATATACATTTTATGAGTCATAGTATAACATTTAGATCTAAAAGGAAAAAGTAACAGAAAAGATTTTGCTTTTTATGGGTAAAGAGTTTAAAATTTGAAACCACAGTTGACAGACTGAATATTTCTGTTTCCAGTGGATCATCTAACTGCTTCTTCTTCAAAAACATGTTAAGAGTCTGAGAATCATTAAGGGTTGTTCTAGAAGCTTCCAGGAATTAAGGACGTTATGCTCAGCATATACAGCTTTTTTGTTAAGGCCTGGGCTTCTCTCTACTCAAGTATAGTACTAATTCCATTTTATGAAGTAGAAAACAGAGACAAAACTTAGAGTAAATTTCTTAAGGTCATATAGATAATAAGTGCAAAATACATCCCTCTAAACCACTGTTCTTGGGGGCGGAGACAAGATGGCAGACTGCAGCCAGCTTTTTGCGAGGCTCCCATCCAGAAGGAGACTTAAAGGACAGAAGTTTAGCAAGGGAGCTGATGGTTTGTAGTGGAGCCAAGAAAGAAGATTGAAGAATGCACTTCAACCTTGCTGAGGCAAGCTGCGACCCCCAAAATACAATCAAAAGGTACAAAATCCACCACCAAGCGGACAGGAGTCTCCTCCCCCTCAAGAAGGGCTCGCAGTTTACTCCATACAAACAAGTAAACAGAGTTCAAATATCCTCCCACTCTATCCCATGGGAGAGACCCTCTAAAAATTGGACCTCCTACCTCTGCTGGCGTGCCACAGCACCCTCCTGCCAGGCATAAAACTGTCAAACTATATGAAACTGTATATATTCCTTACCTGCAACTCTGAACTCCGAGGATTCCCCCCCCAACCCCGAGGTCTGGAGGTTTGTTGCCCATGGAATCCAGATTCTTGGGCATTTCCTTGAGAGGAGTGGAGGGGGAAAGGGCTGGTGCTGGTAGGTGCTGACTCTGTGCCACAGGAGCAAGGAGAGGTTGGTCAGCTGAGGGGGAGCTACACAGGAGAGGAGGTATCCTGAGAGTGGCAGCTGCAGCACCGGGAGGGGCTTGCATCCCTGAGGCCATTCTGAATAGACACACACTGTCACTCTGAGCAACCAGAAGTTTCAGGAATTTTTCTCCTGTGACAGCCACTGGCGGAGAGGATTTGGGAAATTCTGTGAGTACTGACCTGGGTGGAGTGCAGGGACTTATGCAGCTCACAGACTTCCAGGGACTGCTTATCTGAACATAATAGCACCTACCCCTCAGGGGAATACAGCTGAGACAAGGCAGTGGGCGGGCAGAGGTTGGAATTGACACCTGAGTGTAAACTCTTAATTGCTTGCTGCCCAGGGCTGAGTTTGTTATCAGCTGTAGCAGCATCTGACCTGCAGAGGAATTTACATCAACTAGGAGAAACATCAACTAGGTGAGGGGCTGAAACTGAGTGAAATACCCCAGCCTATAATAAGGTTGTCAGGCCTCATCTCTCCCTGCCGGACTCAGATTTCCAGATGACTCTGGCAATCGTAAACCCCAGGAGCAGTTGCTTGCTGGAGTGAACTGTCACAGCCCTGTGGAATTACCAGTGATTGGGTGCAATGTGGGGAAGGAGGTACCAACCTTCCCAGACTAATTCATTTGCTGAGTGGGTCCCTCTGCCCTCACGGAGGACTAGAGCAAGTTATATCTGAGCTGTGAGCAGACCCCTCTTATCTAGCTGCTGGAGACATTTGAATTCTCCCACCTGGTGCTGAGACTGGTACTGACTGGGACAACTGATTTGGACCCCTTGAACCAGGCAAATCACCCAAAGACTATCCAAAGTGGTACCTTGGGTGTATGGTTGAGGGATGGTTTAATTTTCCTTGCCCAGTTGTTGTTTGTGGGCGGTGGGGTGACTTAATTGCTGGTATTTCTCCACAGCAGAGACTTCAACCAAGAGTAATTGATCCACTAGGGTAGGACAGAGACCAGCTGGAAATAAGACAGAACCACTTAGCCCCCACCACACCAAGGAGGTCCTCAGTCTCTCAGGCCATAACACCATACGGGTCCTTGACAAAACTCAAGGGGAAAAGCCAAATGGGGTAAAGTAATCATGGGGCACAATCAGAGGAAAAGCTCTGGTAATATGAATAACCAGAGTAGATCAACCCCTTCAAGAAAGGATGTGGCTGGTAATATGAATAATGAGAGTAGGTCAACCCCCACCCCAAGAAAGAATATAGCAGACGAAACTGAAGATCCTCTTTATAAACAGATGTCTGAGATGTCAGAAATTGAATTTAGTATTTGGATTGCAAATAAGATTAATAGAGGCAAAGATAGAATCAGAAATTCAAGAAGCATTCCAAAAGTTCACTCAAGAATTCAATGAATTCAAAGACAAAAACACCAAAGATTTTGAAATGTTGAGGCAAGAGATTGTAGCCCCCAAAGATCTGAAAAATATAGTAGAATCCCTTGGTAACAGAATGCAGGAGGCAGAAGAAAGGATATCAGATGTAGAAGACAAAGTTGCTGAAAAAGCCCAAATGTCCAAAGAAGATCAGAAATGGAAAGCAAAAACGGGTCATTCTCTCAGAGAGCTCTGGAATAATTCAAAGAAAACTAATATTCACCTTATAGGAATCCCTGAAGGTGACGAAGTTGCTTTGCAAAACAGAGGCTCTTCTTTATGAAATTAAGAAAGAGAACTTTCCAGATATGCCAAGAGATTCTGAAATTCAGATTGCAGACAGCTTCAGAACCCCAGCACGACTCAACCTGAATAAGACATCCCCCAGGCACATCATAATTAACTTCACTAAAGTTAATATGAAAGAGAAAATCTTGAAAACAGTGAGACGTAAGAAAAGCATAACCTACAAAGGGAAGATTAGAATAACTGCAGATCTCTCTGCCTAAACCTTTCAGGCCAGAAGAGGGTGTTCATCGACATTTAATCTCCTAAAACAAAATAACTTTCAACCCAGGATCCCGTATCCATGAGGGATTGAGTTTCATTTATGATGGAGAAATTAAATACTTTAATGACATTCATATGTTGAAGAAATTTGCCATAACTAAACCAGCTCTCCAGGATATTCTCAGACTTATCCTCCATAATGACCAGTGCAATCCTCCACCACAAAAGTAAACTAACTCAGAAACTGTTGATCAAACTCCAACTACCACAGTGGTGAAAGTATTAAAAATGTCTATTGGAGTTTCGAGCAACTCAATGCTCAAAATTTTCCCAGGCTTATCAATAATTTCTATCAATGTGAATGGCTTAAATTGTCCTCTAAAGAAGCACAGATTGGCTGATTGGATACAGAAACTCAGACCAGACATCTGTTGTATACAAGAATCTCATTTTACCTTAAAAGATAAATTTAGACTCAGGGTGAAGGGATGGTCTTCTATATTTCAAGCAAATGGAAAGCAGAATAAAGCAGGTGTTGCAATATTATTTGCAGATACAATAGGTTTTAAACCAACAAAAGTAAGCAAAGATAAAGATGGCCACTTTATATTTGTTAAGGGCAATACTCAGTATGATGAGATCTCAATTATCAATATCTCTGCACCCAACCAGAATGCACCTCAATTTATAAGAGACTCTAACTGGCATGAACAACTGGATCTCTCCCAGCTTCATCACAGCCAGAGATTTTAACACTCCTTTGGCAGTGTTGGATAGATCCTCCAATAAGAAATTTAGCAAAGAAATCTTAGATTTAAATTTAACTATTCAACTTCTGGAT